AAATATCCGTAAAAGCTGGTATATCCTGGTATATCTGCTCAATCACAGCTAATGTGCCCTTGTGTTTTTTCACCATTTTGTAAATTTTATCAATTGCAATTACTTCCTTTTGGAGCCTTTCTTGCCACCTGCAGCTAGTTTTTGTTTTTCAGCTTTAGTAGCTACCTTCGACGTGATTTCCTCAACAGGTGCCAGTGCCGATACGTGCTTGTTAAGTAGCTGTAATAGTTCAAGCGTTGTAAGATTTTCACTGATAAACCGAATTTCTTTCACTTGCACCTTTTCTGCAAACAAGAGTATGTAAAACCTCCGGTTAATTTTTTTTTAAGTCGAAATATACATATTTACATGCATACATATGTATGTATGTAATAAAGAATTGGCGAACATACCTTGTGCAGAGTCGATTAAAGAAAATTTCACCTGCGCTGGCTGACGGTTGCAAACAACGTCTGTTTTTAAGACGCAATTTGGATTTGTGAGAGATATTTTAGGTGCTGACAACAGCGATAAAAAATCCCTACATTAAAAGAAATATTTGGTTAACTATCCAGGACAATCAATCAATAAAATATACATTGAATTATCATATACATATATACATGCATTGTGTCTATTTATATGATGCAACTACATAACAGCATTGTTTCGCACTAATTAAATACATATGGTACACATATTTTAATAGGTATCACGAACTGCTATCTAAAATAGGAAAAACAAAGGCATCAAACTGACGCCGACACCGACAAAGATGTCCACGGAGCGTGAGCTTGCTCCGGGAGGACCATCGCAGCTCCACTCCATACCTGTCCCTTACCCGGATTTGGGCGCTACACTGCAACTCAACACAGCGGTGCGAATAATTGGCAAGGTATATGGTAAGTAAATTTATATTATATTCTGAATAATTTGTAAATGTTTGCTAATTGCCTTGACAATCTTGATTGTTCACACAGTTGAGAATGTGCATGAAGAAACCAAAATTTCACTCGCTTGTTATAAAAATGTTTGAGATTATCCTTCTTACTGCGCATGCTACAACATCCAAGGGCTTTTCATTTTGACATAGTGGTCACTACCATATCGACCGCTTTTCTTGTACAATGTGCATGTATGTATATTACATTTTACATTATTCCTACCTTGTGGGTCTCACATTTTCAGCGAAGGGATCAAACGTAACAGTTATTCTTTTTACACCTTTTAAGTTGACACTTTTTAATTGCTTGCTTATTGCTGCAATTAAGCCATTAGACCGTTTTAAAGCTCCACTAAAGTGTATGGACATGCTGTATTTAACTAAAAAAATACGATTTGCTTTTATTCCTGTTTTGACTTGTTATGTACTTTATTGCGAATCGGTTTGACATTCGAGCACATGCAGAAAGTTGCAGTTGCAAAGCTAATTTACGTTCTCTGAAGATACCAGAGAAGCAGTGTTGCCATCAATCTTAAAAAAATATCCAGAAATGGTATAATTTCAAACTAATGCACCGTTTTTGCTGCATTTAAAATACATCATTTAGCACTTTCGAACATATGTTTTCGAAGAGCGTTCATGCTATCGCATTTAGCTTATTCAGATCCGTATCTATTACGATCAATTCTCACGCAGAAGATAATGTGCAAAAACCCTACTGAAAAGGAAAAAAAATTTTAAACCAAAAATTCATTACAAAAACTTGTATTGTTTAACCATAACCGAACATTTGTTTGTGTATATATTCATTTGTCGGTGTTCTCACTTAAAATTTCATCACGTAATTAGGAAACAAAACACACAGAGTTGATCAAAAATGCCCCACCCACTCCATGTTATATGAATGGAGCCGAACACGTCGATAATGATGTTTAAACGGAGATTAGTGTTAACCAGACATTGAGTAACCGGCCCTTGGGGCCGGTTGTTCAATGTAACACAAATCGGAGGTAGAAGCTCCGGTTAAGTACACCTTTATCGATCACATGTTATATGCATGATGTCGAAATCGTCGATAGTGTAGTGGTAGTGATAACCAGACATTGAATAACCGGCCCTAAATTGCTACCTAAATAGAGAAAAATCCTAAATCACTGGAAAGTGTCGGTAATGCAGTGAATAGGAACATACGAGCATACTTTTCAACCTAAGGGCCGGTTGTTCAATGTCTGATTAGCACTAATCGGAGGTAGAAGCTCCGGTTGAATACAAGGACTGCTTTATCGATCACATGTTATACGCACGATGTCGAAAACGTCGATAATGATGTTTAACCGGCTCCATGCAAATAACATAGTGTCGGTAACGTCGATAACGATGTTTAACCGGGGATTAGTGTCAAC